TCAGCAGGACACTCCAAAGTGTGCTCTTACAAACTACAGTATAACATTAACTTTGTGCCAACATGACTGAGGATATGTTATGGAGAGAGACTGTATCTAGTAATTGATTCGACATAGATCCCATCCCTAATCAATTAACTGTATGTGAAAGGAAAGGCAACATTCCCTAAAATACAGTTCACCCTAGTGCAGAAGGCTCTTACAAGGTCCTAAACAGTCTCACTGCAGGGGAGTAAGTTTCATTCTAAACAAAAAGATTTGCAATAGCAAATTTGTAGTGAATTAGGAGTGAAACTGTTGTACTTAGAAAAAAAACCCAAAAATTTGTCAACAGTGAAGTACCTCAATTGGTTCAATGTCACTAGCTGTAGAAGGAGACCTTGATCTTGAATGGAGGTGAGACTTGCTATCTTCATCCCGTGATGGAGTATTAGACAATGTAAAATTCTCAACTGAATCAATCTAGGAGAACAATTCAAGAGGGAAAAAAAAAAACAACCAAAAAAATAAATCAAAGACATTAAAAAATAATTTTCAACTCTTACCAAAATAAGATACGGTAGCAGTAGACTTCCTAAGAGAGAACTGAGAGGATAAAAATTCAGTTTTAAGCAACTTCCTAATTAAAGTAAAAAAATGCAATGAAAATTATTGACTATGAACACGCCAAGGCTTCTGCTTAGAGGTGAGCACATGCATAAGAGCTGCTAGTTCAGGCGTCTGATAAACACTTGAAGAGATTTGTAATTCAGCATTTTTAAGGGGTGAACATTTTCTAAACACTACTGGGTTTTGTCCACTGGTAGTAGAGATTTGTTAGAAGTGAATTCCCACATAGGCCATGTAAATCACTGCAAACATATTTAGGAGAAAATAAGGAGAAAAGGCAGAACAAACAACTTATTTCCTGAGGTTAGTATTAATTATATTCACAGAGAATTTAGGGGGTTTTGCACCCCATTTGAACTACAAAAACGTCCTTACCCGGAATACATTTTCTTCAGGGGAATATTTTCCTAGTCCTTGACATACAGTGAAACTAAGCCCAACACACAAATACAACGAACAACAAGGCATATAGGTACAACCAGGTATCTTGGATAAGAAATCATCTTTTGTCAGTGTAACTGAAAAATCAGAGAATGCAGGATTCTTCCTTGAAAACAAGACATCTCCACATCAAAGTTTTCTATGTAAATTTATATTTTTTTAAAAAACAACTATAGTGAGATGAGGATGCTTTTCTCCACTAATAATAAAACTGAAAGTTGGAGGCCTACAGAAGCTCCACTGCACGCCTGGCTTTTCTGGAGCAATGCTATCATCGGTTCCCCATTGCTAAGGATTTGGCTAGCTTGCACACAAACTAAAATATGCAGCAACGTTTACAGAAAGCATTTGAACATTCCAGTGTTTTTTATCTCATTTGCCATTGACATCATACTAAGAATTGCACAAACTTTACTACTACTTTTTGGGAATAAAATATATTGCCAAGCCAATCTTACACATGCATATACAGTCCTGTTCTCCAGAAACTCAGTCATGGTAGTAAACAGGTGCAGTTGCTGTGGGGTTTTTTTTGTTTGTTTGTTTTTTTTCTCTCTCTCTCTCTTTTTTTTTTTTTTTTTTGGAATAGTAGAGAGTTAAATTTGATGTCTTCTAGTTTTATCATAGCCTTCAGAAAAAAAAAGACTATCTGGTGGAGAATGCTCATCAGCTTAATCAACTTAGGCATATTAAGATGCCTGCAAGTATTTCTGTAATGAAAACGGGAAATTCTCACACTCGGATACACCTGTTTTCTGCACATAGATCATGTGTTTCGAGCATTGAGGCAAAAATTAGCAGTAAAGCAAACATTTTATGCTCAGATTTATCAGAAGCAAAAAATAATTGGAAGCTTTATCCAGTATTAAAAACATTGATGCCAATATAAAAACATTGATACTTAAGTAGTAAATCCCCAGATACGTAACATTTTTTCAATTACTTTAAATTTTTTTAAGAGGGTCTAAACATGCGATAACTTAGAGTCCACTCAAAGACTGTTTAACCTTGAACAATTCTACCTGCTTCTTAGAAGTGTTATTAAAAATAAGCCCAATGAGGCAAATCTTCCACAGCTGCAGCAACGTTTACAGAAAGCATTTGAACATTCCAGTGTTTTTTATCTCATTTGCCATTGACATCATACTAAGAATTGCACAAACTTTACTACTACTTTTTGGGAATAAAATATATTGCCAAGCCAATCTTACACATGCATATACAGTCCTGTTCTCCAGAAACTCAGTCATGGTAGTAAACAGGTGCAGTTGCTGTGGGGTTTTTTTTGTTTGTTTGTTTTTTCTCTCTCTCTCTTTTTTTTTTTTTCTTTTGAATAGTAGAGAGTTAAATTTGATGTCTTCTAGTTTTATCATAGCCTTCAGAAAAAAAAAGACTATCTGGTGGAGAATGCTCATCAGCTTAATCAACTTAGGCATATTAAGATGCCTGCAAGTATTTCTGTAATGAAAACGGGAAATTCTCACACTCGGATACACCTGTTTTCTGCACATAGATCATGTGTTTCGAGCATTGAGGCAAAAATTAGCAGTAAAGCAAACATTTTATGCTCAGATTTATCAGAAGCAAAAAATAATTGGAAGCTTTATCCAGTATTAAAAACATTGATGCCAATATAAAAACATTGATACTTAAGTAGTAAATCCCCAGATACGTAACATTTTTTCAATTACTTTAAATTTTTTTAAGAGGGTCTAAACATGCGATAACTTAGAGTCCACTCAAAGACTGTTTAACCTTGAACAATTCTACCTGCTTCTTAGAAGTGTTATTAAAAATAAGCCCAATGAGGCAAATCTTCCACAGCCAAGAAACAGACATTCCTTTTCTTCTGCAAGTTAAACTCAGAGATCTAATCTATCATTTCATAAATGTTTCCAGATACTCTAAAGGCTTTCCCTTTCAAAGTAGCATCTTCATACCAAGAAATTTTCATGGTGTCTCTTAAAAAATTTAGTACAAGCATGGTATGAATGATGGAACTTTCCTGGAATGTGCTACAAAGCCTTTGTGGTTGAAGACAACTGCCGAACCAGTAAAAAAAAAGTAACAAATATATTTTTATTTTACTTATGAACATAAAAAGCCCGCAAAATACACAGAACCTGATCTACCATTACAGAATTTGAAGGGAATTTAACCACTACCTTTACTGCAGAAACAGGGCCTTAAGCTGTATTGCTGCAGCAATTCCCAAGGTTCCTTGCTTTAATGAGAACTAAGTACAAAAGCAACCTGACTCAACTATGGCCAAAAGCTTACATGGACCGTATTAACACCATGAAAATTAGTTTTAAACTAATCCACTGGATTATCAGAAACACATTTCAGTATTTCCTACTGAACTGTAATAGCCTTGTTGTCTTCCACAGGACAGTGCTTGGTTGTCTACACAGTGTCACCTGCATAGGTCTGAGCCAAAGCTGGCCAGTGTATAAACACATCCTGAGGAGAGACAAGCTTCTGAATTGGAGCCATGACCGACAAAACCAAGCAGTTACTGTAAACTTGCCTGAGCCGCTGAGCAGTGTGCTTTGACCTGCATAGCTAAGGTCATGATTAGATCTGTTGGGCATTATTGCTTATTTATTGAATATTCAGTATAAATGCTTTGTATGCTTTCCTATTCCTATCACCGTATGCATATAAAGGAAACAAAAGTGCAGCATGAGTTCAAAACGGACATAGCATACCTGGTACAAAGTCTGTCTCTCAAAGCTTTGATAACACCATGTTTAAAAATACACCTTGATTTCTGAAACACCATAGAGCTTTCCAGCTTAACAGACTACAACACATCCAACTCTGTTTTCCTTGTAGGAATTCTTCTTGCCCTCCTTGATGCTCCAATTTACTCAATTCCCCACTTCCCATTTATTTATCTCTCTCTTACGATGTTTTCTATCATTTGCTATGATATGTCTCCCCAATGCCGAACTTCTACCTTCTACAGGCAATTCCTATAACTCAACAGATGCCCTCTGTAAAGGGCAAGGAAACAAACAGGCCCCCATTTGACATTTGCTCATCTTCCAAACCTGAATCTACCTGATCAGCTTTCACAAAGAACTTTCATGTTGAAATGATAAAGTACCCACAGCATCTTCTCCAGTTACCGTGATTTTCTGCCCACAGGATTACCAAATGAAATACTCCAAAAGCTTTTAGCCCACAGCTGTAAAACAACAAAAAGCACAGCAGCAGCAGCAAACGGTAGCAGCAGCACAAGACATGCAGTGAGGTAAATACACAATCCATACATTAAACAACGGCATGTACACAACAGGCAAAAAATAAAGGGCCACATAGAGTAAGACAGCATCTTACACGTCTGCCTTTGTTAGCTGGAATACAGGAAGGAGAGCGCTTTAACAAAGAAAGGAGGAGAATATGTTACAAAACCAAACAGTGACACATACATCAGCTGAGAATTCATCGCTCTCTATCTCCAGAGGTGAGGTTTAGACACACACAAACATGTTCATTTTTACAAGTGTTTTGAAAACAAGATATTCTGGGGCAACAAGAGGGAAGAAACATCAAAAAAAAAAAAAAGGAGAAGTTATTTTAAAGTCTGTAGTTTTATACTGGACAACAGCAGTGAAACTGCAAGACTATATTACACTAATAATTTCCAGTTAGCATCTCTGTACTTTGAATAAGATTAATAAAACAATCTCTTGGAGCCACAATATGTCCAATTTAAAGTATCATTAAGAACCAGAATTATTCTGAACTTAATTACGAATGTGCAGGTAGAGTCAGGGCTCTCACCACACACTACTATGGCTTACTCTGTTTAATACTGAGAATTCAGAACATGATTTATTCTGTGGTTATTTACAAAGTTCAGATTTGTTTAGTCTAACTGAAGCCTATGGGAACTGCATGGGAGGACAGATTGCAGGAGGATTTAAGAAATCTATGTTTAATTCATAATATGTTGATAACAGGGGAAAAATATTTTCTAGTAAGTGGGGAAAATAATTTTGTCAAAGGAAAATGGGATTCCATTTTAGCGTTATTAAATAATCACAAATCCATCATTAAATAAAACAAGTTGATTGTTTCTAGTAGCTTGTGAGACACACAAAGATCCAGCTGGCAAAGAACCCCAAACCAAACACTTCTATTATCAGACACTTCTAGTGAACACAAGAGACTTAACACCTGGACGATGTTACTGAGAGACAGCCTGCAGCACACAGGAGGAACAGCGGCAAAGATTTGGAAATTAGTATGTTAGAGTCACTGGGGGTGACTTCCCTCCCCACCCGAATCAGAAACCAGACACCGCAAAACCCATTCCTACTCCCCTTTGCACCCTCCCGTGTGCACAGGAGATACAAGGATCAGTTCTGAACGCGTGGGTTTTCGCAGGAATGAGGATTCAGGCACCAGTTCTGCCAACCTGACCAAGTATCTTTTCACGGACGGACAGGTGGAACCAACAGTGACTGCTACACATCTGAATAGCGAACTACCACTTATCTTGCTCAGCATCTGCAGGCTACAGAGGCAGCAGGACATCTATTTTTACTTCTCTGCTCTAGAAATTGCAAAACTACTGTTTTCCTCATTGAAAAAACTAGAATTAACTCCAGTTATTCACGGAGGGCTACAAACAATTACGTTATTTCGATGGCAAACACACAAGACACACCCACGCTAGTAAACTCCAAGTGTAATCAGTGGGCCAAACTCAGTGCTGCTTACACATCTGTATGTTGAATAAGATTTTAGAGCTCTTCAAAAGAGTGCTATGTAACTGCACCTGCACATTATTTTACACTCTCTCGGTCATTTCTTAATGAAGCACAGAGGCTGAAGAAACACTACGGGCCATTAGTAATATTTACTTTGGGTTCTTGATTACAGGAGAGGCTTTCCTGAAACCCATGCAATATTGCAGCACTGCATGAGTCTGACCTGAGGACTTCTAATTCTTCCTTGGTCTTAATATAAAGAACCCCCACACTTCTCAGGTTTGACCGAGCACTGATTAATTCTTGAGATGCGGCAAGAAACACTGCCCTTCAAGGTAACCACTGTCAAAAAGAGACATCGGAAAGGGAATGGGGGGGTCACATCCAGTGGAGAGGGATTTTTAATACCCTCATTTTCATTTAAGTCTGCCTAATACATTGATGTATTAGCTCAATGAGCTGAAACACAAATAACCATTCATTCTGATAACTGAGGCTATATATTATGAATCTCTCTATGAAGGAATCAAGTAATTGTCCAACAAATGAAAGATGCAGAACTGACTTTAGCACAACAGTCAACTCTCTTCTTCTGCAGTTTTGCCAGATGAGAAAGAATTCTGCCCCAGTGTTAGAGACAATAGCCCCTGGCCAGTCCAGTCCAGAAATGTATTCTTGCCCAATGCAACAGAGAAAAAAAAATGCTCCTGACTCAAAATGAAGACGTTAACAGGAGAAGTCTGATTCTGCGTGTAGTCAGTCACCCACATGCAACAATATACACACTAATACCTGGAGTTTTACCCAAGACTAAAAGATGGGTATCTGAAAAGATATCTGAGTGGATCAATCAAGAAGAATGTCTTAAAGGATGTACGCCACCGGTTGAAAATTATTCACTTACATAGATTGAAAAAAAAAAGTGATTTTGTCAAAATGCTTGTAAAAAAAAAATGCTGCCTTCTTCAAAAAAAGAAAAAGCAATCAACAATAAATACAGAATAAATACTGATGTCCTTCACAACTAACTAGACAGCAACCAAGAAAACTTGCTTGTCCTAAGTTTCCCCTTGCAAAATAGAACATTATCATCTACTCTGCCACATACAATACTTTATTTCTCTTTTAACAGGTTTTAGGACAGAGCATTAGATAATTTTAAAGGTAACTTTCTGTGAAAGAACCTGCTGACACAAACTAAGTGTTCCTAATACCCAGGCAACATAGAGAACACTTCTTTAATCCAGATAAAGGATATAAATATTATTCATTTATTATTCATTGTAGATTTAACATGACAGGAAACTGTACTCATTTTTTTTGTGTAAGAAACTTCCAATAATATCAGCAAAACAAAGTTTTCTATATGCTATATAAAAATACAGGCAAATATCTTCTACTACAGTAACACAGATGTGCCGTCACATTTTGTCTAAGGTATATAACTGATTTACAGAAAAAAAGCGTCTAGAAGAAAAGCATTCTTTCAGAGTTTGTGAAAGGAAATGCAATCAGTAGCATAGGCCGTCTTTGTTACACCCTTCACAGCAGACAGTTCTAGAATAAAATTAATTATATCACATTTTAATGCAAATAGGATTATACTATTTTAAATACATATGTATAAACACGTGTGTATGTGTATACACATATATACTAGCACACACAGACGAACACACACAATATACCTACAGACTTGTAATGGATGGTTCTCTACCATGGATGCATAGTATATAGTTCAATTTTAAAAAGCTTATTTACTTTTATCTGCCTACTGCTTCTGTCTGGAAGAAATATAATGCAGTCAATTTCCAGCTTTTAACTCAATTCCCTTAGTATGCAATTAACTAGGGTAAATATTTAAACACTGTCTTGACAGAAAACTAGCATCTCAAATGGTAATAAAAAGTAGTAAGTTCACTTCAGTTATAGTGAGAACTACTTCTTACAATATTGGCTAAAAAAGAGACAATATTTTATTTGAGCAAACAGAAATTAACTGTATGCAGGGAAAACATTTTCACTGAAGTGATCAGAAAACTTTTGGAAACAGCTAATGATAAAGCAGTAATATGAAGCAATAGAACTAAATGAAATAAATGTACCAGTGATTTTGGACCCATTTTCCCCAGGCCATATCAGTAGATAAGGCCAAAAGCAGCTTCTCCCCATTAGAAAGACTATTTACAATTAAGAATGCTTCACCTGCCCTAAAAAAATTTAAAATTGAATATCTATCTATACAAATAGGTGTAAGTATGCTATTACAGAAATATTCTGTTCTCCACTGCACTTGCAGATTTTTTAAGTTGACTGCATTAATGTTTGAATATTCCAAATCAATCAAGTGATCTCTCTTATTGAGGGATTTACTGGTTTGAAAGTCAAAGACTTACGTCATCCATAAAATCAATCAATGAGGATGAAGAGGAGGAAAAGGAATCCTATTTTAATGAAAACAGCAGTAAAAAGAAAAGAGAGAGAGAAAGAGATGGATGAAGAAAGCTGTTCAGTATAAATAAAAGTGCAAAAATAAAGAACTGTAAATGACTAGTGCCAGTAAGTTATCTCAGTTAAGTTTTCATTAATTGCCTTTCATAGACAATTAATCAATAAACTACCTGTATAAAACCCAATGTTTTTCCAGCATTCAGTAATTTGTGAGATAAATAATTAAAAAGCAAATTAAGAAATGGTATTAATTGTGAGGACTTCAAGAGAGAACAATAAATTAATGAATATACAATGAAAAGAAAGTAAATTCTGGAACATCTGGATCAATAACATCAGGGATTATGCTCTTTTATAGCTAAATGTGGTGTCCTTGTACATCCATCAGGAAAGAAACGGGCAAATTTTAGACCCATCTATAACTGCAAAGGCGGTGCCTTGTCCCCTCTGAATTCAGTATGACCAATATTTCACCCCAGCTGTTCTTTTAAAAGAAAAATGATGCATTGCTTACTGTCAATTAAAAGAAAGAAGATACGAAATGTATAGCATTGTTTCAATTTCTTTCTTCCAGGTTTTCTACCTAAACTGGTCTTTTGTCTAAAAGTGACAAAGGAATTAAACAGATTTATTTTTTAAGTGTATAGGATCTGTGGAGAGGAGATGAACAGTAATTATCTGAATTTTAGAGATCTGTGTAAAATGAACAGAAGATGACAACAACCTAATAAATATACAGTACCAATGACTTCATGTAATACATTCAATGATTATTTCCCTGTTTTCTCTCATTTTTGCCAAACGAGTATCCGCATTACTTAGCATTTTTATGAATACAAAGAAAGGCCATTTGAACAACTACACTGTTCATGTTCACTATAAAATCAGGAAAATTTCTGCATTCAAGGTTTCAGAGAGAATTCACTATGATTGCTAGTGTTCAAGTGAAGACAGCCAGCACTGTAAATGACAAACAATTCTCACATATTATTATACACAAATATAAACGGGGCAATATGATTAAAATACAGTAGCAAATTCTCAGCAAATAGCATATAACCTGCACATAACAGCAGTAGCTCCAGTGACCAAGAGAGAGTTAGAATAGCTGTACACTTACTTCAAATTGATCCAGAGCAGAGGTAGGCGCATTCAAAAATGCCAAGAAAGAATTCTGTGAGTCTTGGTGCTTTACACCTAGAAAACAGCAGCAGGTTTTTAAGCTACAGAAAAATGGCCTTTTCATGGAGGACCTTTTCCTTGCTGAATCAGGGTTGAGTATCCACCTGAACCACCTACATTCTTTGAAATGAGTTGTCACATTTGGTCTCTTTTCCAGAGTAGATTTTTTTAACAGACTTACACCCACTAAGCAAGCAGCGTATGTTTAATTAACCTCTTCCAAGCTAGGATGCGCGTGGTGCGAATTCAACATGAAAACATACTGTATGTACGTGTCTATTATGTAGAAGGCACAAGTTTCTAATGTGCTTATGTCCATCCGCAACATGCACTGCAGGACACACAGGCATACACACTAATGCAGGAGCAGGTGTTGTCCCGGCTCCTGTCACACGCTGGATAGCCTACCGTGACAAAACAGCTTTAGCAAACAGTGAGGTTCCACAAAAATGTACAGAACGGGCTATTTGAGGAACACACTGCATTTCCAAATAATAGGAGTTCCTTGACCCATGCTCTGTGCCTGTCTGCCACCATTTACGTGGTTTTCAGCCAGTGAGCAGAGCAGGAACGCTGCATTCTCTGGAGCTGCAAAGGCTGGCACTTCTTGACTGTTCTTTTAACTTGCTTCAACTGAGATTTTTTTCTTCTTCTTTTCTTTGGGGAATAATTCAAGTTTCTGTGTGGGTGTTTATAAATCACAGATGTGTACAAACTCTAGCTTCCTGAACACCATAAGTATATCAAAGGTCACTTATTTATTTTAAAAAAATATCAGTGTCTTGCTTTAGCTGGCCATATCATCCTGTTTTCTCTAAATATAACCCACAGTGAATAAAGAAGTTACAAACAATCCTTTCCTCTTCAAAATATAAATACACTGAAACCCCAGTAAAAGATTCAAACCAATTCTCAAATTACCTGCTACTTTACAGAAACAATTTTAGTAATTTTTTTTCCCCCACCCTCCTCAGTTTCTGGAACACATTTATAAAGAGCAAAGGACTCGAGTGCTAATCTAAGTAATCCCTTCCTAGAAATCAATCTCCACACACAGGAAGTTACTTTACCGCTATACGTTCATTACATTTGAATCCTCTATACAGTTCATGATTCAAACATCAATATATTACTTCTTATAAGAGAAAACCAAGTTTAAAGATAATAAGGATTTTGGATTAAGGTGTATTTCTATCAAAATATCTGAATAGCTGCAGTAGAATCTTACTAATTTACATCTGGCAAAAGACATAACAACTAACTTTTCCTTGAATAGTACATTTTCTTTTTCTTTTTTTTTTTTTTTTAAGACAAAAGAAAATGTTTATCTCTATTTTCACAAAACCAGTAAGGTTTTAAACACTTGAAAAAATACAGGGTAAAATATTAATTATAAATTCTTAATAGATTGTTTACGCAAAGGAAGATTTCAGAAGCCGAGTACCCATGCATAATATTTAAGACAGTTAAAGAATCTATATAGGAAAATGCTAAATGTGACAAAGCATTACTGTCTCCAGGGAGTTGTTATCAAGAGTTCCTCTCCAACTACTTGGAAGAAGCATATCAGTGCGAAGCATCAAGATAAACAAGTATCAATTCCCTAAGTCTTATTTGCTAATCAGCACCAGTCATTTTTTACTGTTCTGTGTAGGTTTGTATTATTTTTACCACTCAACCAGCAATTGGAGGCCTATATATGGGAGAGGAATGTTAACTACAATACATTATTGACTGACATGCCATCACGTTGCAAAGACTGAACAGTATTTGACTTCCCTATGCAGCAGTTGTTGCCAGGGTTTTGAAACTCCAGACTTCAAACAGTTCCCTACAGAAAATTAGGTAATTCCATTTGGTCTGAAAAATAATTTCTTCCCATGTGACTCATAAGATACAAATATTAGAGCTACTACGGGAACTGCAAAGAATCAGCCAAATCATTAATCATCTCTCAATGAAAATGTTTTTTCATTTAAGAATTACCAGAAAGTCTCTTCTCCCAGCAACAATGCAAAATACTGTTAGACAGATGCACTAGAAGTCCCAGAACATACTCTTAATACCACAGCAAAGCAAACATGACCATACTGCTCACTACGTGGTTACAAAGCCAATCAACGAAGTCATCCCAGAAACAAATGAATGCTATGAAAGCCTCTGCAGTTGTTTACTCTCTGTGTAGACAAGGCCAAAATATTCATAGATGGCGAACACTATGATCAGTATTGAAGTCTAAATACCTTCACCCACCATAAAGGGGGAAAAATTATATCTATACTTGTAACAGTTTTCTGCAGTAAATCACCATACACATGCCAAATAAAAATAGTGCAGCTCCGACTCAAATAATACCTTACTGGTTCAAGTATATCAACAAAACTGAAGCATATTACAAGTATGTATTAGAAGTGCAAATGCAACTGCTGCGGGTACATCTTATCAAGCAATTGTGCTCACATTTTGTATGTCAAAGCCTGTTGGCGTTGTATTTTAGTTGCAAGGCGACAACTGATAAGATGTACCCACCAATGTGAAACATGTTATTTACTTGGATATCAGTTGCCATACCCTTTTCTGATCTAAGCTCTTCTGTCTCCTTTTTCAGCCTTTCGATATCTGTCAACAGTTCCATGTTCTTCTTCTCAGATTCTTGCAATTTGCTTCAAAAGAATACAGAGAAAAATCTATGTCAATATTGAGAATCCATGATACAAGTAATTTTTTTTGTCCATCTTTGCATGCTATTTAAAAATTAATGTCCAGTAAGCTTCATGATGTCATCAAACACCAGAATGAATTCATAAATCTATTGGGACCTATTTAGTATGGTATCTTAAAAAAAATACAACCAGAACAAGCAACTAGTTGCCCCTGTTTACCCATTAAATAGTCTTGTGTTTCTTATTTATGAGTATTTGTGTGAGCTTATATCCTGTGAATGAGAAAAGACGACCACATGTATTTTTATGCTTAAAAATTGGGGGTGGGGCCTGAGGAAGGAATAAAATAATCCATAATCTTCCACAGCACATCTTATTACTGTGCAAATCAGGATGCAATAATTGATTTTCAATGCAGCTAGCAATAGAATGGACAAGAGTATGTTATCAGGCACTGGAACAGGCTACCCAGGGAAGTGGTCGAGTCCCCATCCCTGGAGTTATTTAAAAGACAGGGAGATGAGGGGCTTAGAGACATGGTTTAGTAGTGGACAGGTCTGGTTGGACTCAGTGACCTTAAAAGGTCTTTTCCAACCAAATGATTCTATGTTCTAAGATACAACCACAAACTCTTACTTGCATTTGAACTTGTTACCACAACTAGGAGAGATTATATTATTAAAGTGAAAGCGTCCCCTCTGAAAGCCTTCAAGATTTCGTATTTTCCCAGTGAGTGTTCAGCTGCTTATACAATGAAGAGAGAGATGGTCTTTTTTCACGTTTGGATATAAGAAACTGGCATATCATTCATTATCAAATTTTGACAGACAAGGTACTTAAACTCATGATTTGATCACGCTCCCTGGAAGGTATCAAAGTAAATTTCCATCAGAACAATGCAGTCTTACCACTCTGTTGAGATACAGGAAGCTTTGACTTTATTCAATTCATCTTGAATAGCCTGTTTGGCTCGGATTTCAGCATCAAGAGCAGACTGTAGCTCCAACCTTGCAGACATATCCAGTTTTGCAAAGCGTCGCATCTTCCAGGGCATGTCCTAGTAAAGAATAAGAAAAAGGGAGAAGAAAGAATAAGAAGAAAGAAGTCAGAAAATGAGGAACATAACTAACTTCAACAATTATGTTTCTCAGTCTATTATGTTCTTAATATGAGTTCATTAATTCCAAAGTAATCTAAAGTTACAAAATTAAAAGAGTATTGTTATTAGTATTATTGTTTTTAAACTCAAGTACTAAATAGGCAAGATGAATGTTTTATGCTGTCACGATCTCAAAAGCAAAGAGATTTTGTGAATTCAAGTTTTGGCGTGCCTCAGTTCAAATGACAGCTATGAAGGACATTCACATTTCAGAAGTGAAAGGTTTTAATGCTTTCATGTCCCGAAGTATATATTTCCTTCAACAAATTCATGTATTTATAAGTAGCTACTTAAACAATATAATAGATAAAATCACGTTATAAAGATATTGGTGTTTAATTCATTAACAATAAATCTGCTATGCAATTATTCAGAAAGGAAGCACTACTGAAGTTTAACTTTTGACTAAGGCTCTACAGAAAGGTTATTACTGCAGCTGAAACTATAAAATTAGTATTTTTTCAAACAAAACCAAATCTGAGATATGGAAATACAGTCTTACTGTAGCTCTTGCACCCAAACTGGAGTTCCTCAGTGCCTCTAGTTCTTCTGTCATCTTAGAGGCCAAGGCTTGAAGATAACCTCGAGCATCTTTTTCATCACTTACCCTAAACAATTACATTAGAAGAAAAAGGTGTTTTAACCAAAGAATCTAAAGAAAAAAAAAATAAAGTCCCTTCAACAAAATAGCAACCAGAAACAGAAAAAAAGCAGAACACAAAACAAAAATCGTAAAATATAAGGAGAAAATCAAACAAAAAAAAACCAATACAGAAACCCACACAGAACTAAGCCTTTCTGCTTTGCACAATTCCATTAAACAATATGCATCACTAAGACAAGGAATAAAGATTGAAGAACTGCATATTTAAGTAAGTAATATATGTCTCAGTATAAATGTCAGCTACCTGAAATTGAGACTGTGGGAAAGAAACTTTTCAGGATTCAACCTATTTTTTGGGAGTCAATTAAGAAAAAAATTTATGACAAATAATGAACTATTCAACCATCCATATAACACTGGAACTATTGGTTGACTTTATTGTATTAATTGACTATGAGAACTAGTAGTTAGAATCAAACAGTAATTTCAAGAAATGCTACTTCAATAGGAAGAGTCTACTTCTAAAGTTATTAAACACCGTAAGCCAGAAGCAGGTGTCTATTTCCCCAAGCTTGCTTTCTATCAAGACATGTTTTCTGGGTGTAAACACATCAGTGAGGAAACACGTCTGTTTTTCAGATTCTTTGAGCACCAGTTGCAGAGGAAAAAAAACCTTTTTCTCATTAATCACAGCAGAAAGATCCTTCACTTTGCCTCAGGTATTAACATTGAAAGGGAAGTTGCTAAAAAAATTACCTCACCAAAACTAAGTAGCTTATGAAAAACCAAAGACAAATAAACAGAAAAAAAAATAAAAAGGAAAAAAAGCCCAAACCATTTCCTTTCACCTTGCATGCCTGGCTCTGAACATAGTCATCTTGCCCACAGAAGAACAAACTCAGTTCTGCAACAGCAGATCATATCCAAGTCTCTGAGCCAGTCTCAGAGACCAGCAGTCTAATACCACGCTAACCACAGAAATGTTTAAGATGTGCTCTAAGTAATGAGCCTCAAATAGTTTTAAGTAACTGTTAGGGAAGTGGGAAAATATTTTTTTCCGCTTCATGGAAATTAACTCATCCTTGCCTCCTGATTGTTCCTTAGTAACTGTAATCCTGAGTATGTTGGACTGGAGATGAGAGTTGTCCAGATGGTTGAATTTGTCTCTTAGTGACCTCTCTGCAGAAAGGGATTCCCCCCTGCACCTACAAAGCAATGTAAGTTTCTCTGGTTGACACGATGGGGTTCATACGCACAGTGAATATTGAAAAGGTGCTATTTGCAAGCTTGCCATTAATGAAAAAAAATAATTTCCTGTTTCAAAAAGATTTACAGTCACCAGGAGGCAAGAAAGACAGAGAGGACATACTCTGAACTGCCACGGGCAAGGGAGGAACAGAAGAGCTTTCCCACAGCGGTCTTAGGGCAAGATCACAATCCAAAAGCTATGGGCTAAACCTCTACAGGTTGCAGTGACTTCTGGGCACGCAGTTTAAGATTTATATAAAAGACAACTGTTTTAATACAGAGAAAGCTAGTGCATAAGTAGTGACCATTTGCCACAAAATTCCCACCCAGCATGAAAAAGTAAGCACTGAGTCATGTTTTGGGCTTTATCTTCTTTGTTTCCTGCCTACAATTTAGTTCAAGAGGTGGGGAGGACCCTAGGAAAAAAACCAAACAACCAAAACACATGTCCTGACTCTATTAAAAGTCAGTGAGTGCTTTGATATTAATGAGTCAGTATTTTCCCCAAGGTATGCCAGAACTCAATGGAAGCAGCATGCCAATGTTTTTCCAAAACATTCTGGATGAAATACATTTTGATGACCAGATCCAGATAATCTTGGCCTATACAGACCACTTCGGGTAGAAGAGTGGGCAAAAGACACATGAAGGAGTATAAAATGCTGTGGGTAGGAGGAGGTGCATAGTAAAAAGAAATGCATAGTAAAAAGAAAAGAGTGTAAGTAGGAATACAAAGAGTGTGAGCTTCTCAAGGTGAGTAAGTAAGTTCTCCTGATGTAGAAACTGGCATTTGATCTTCTCTATTTTAATGACACATAAAATCTTGGCAGAAAAAAGGGACAGTGTCAGATTAAAAATGAAGTTGAATTGATGCCTTATTTTTTAACTTTTCTAATTAAAGATGAACTACTTTAAATGTCCAATTTCTTTGTCAATATTTATCACGCCATATAGATCCTTCCTCATGGAAGGTGAGAAAACACTTCAGTTATTTGGTTTATGATGCACAGAACCATCAGGCTCTAAATTCTGAAAAGCTGCACAGGCAATAACCTCAGAGAGATGTTCCACAGAACATGTAGAAATCTAGAAAATGAAAATATACATATAAAGTCAATTTATGCAAAAACCTATACTGAGTAAGTCAGTAAATTCAAGCAGCACAATTTAGAGCGGAGATACAGTTTTGTCATCCACTAGATGGCAACATTCTCTCGATAAAGAGATACACTGATTAAACATGTGAGCCCAAGAGTTCTTGCAGATTATTTGATTTGTTAACAGTTTTACTGGGGTTTTTTTGTTTGGTTGACTTTTTTTTTTTTTTTAGAAGATAAAGTTAATCTTACTAATGCTTCTTTCCTTGCCCCCACTTCTTGCAGAGAGCCATAACAAGCACAGCCGAAGACTTAAGGGAGAAAAGTTCTGTAGGTTCCACCCAGAGTAATTTCCTTCTTTACTGAAAATTTAGATTAGATGAACTGTTCTGTTTTCATATATAATGTAAGTGGTCTCACAAGCTTAGTTCACTAACTATAAAGAACCTAGGACAGCGATATAGTACAAATTCCTCTAAAATGTAATTTCACTTTTTAGTTGGAGCCAACATCATGTCAACCTTCAAATAACCATTGACCAATATCTAGTATGGTATTTGTCAGGCTGCTAGGAGCTTCAGAATCTCTGGGTCTCTCTATCCAGGATATGTTACAATACAAAATGGACCCAGAGGACTTGAGATTTTTTGCTGGAGTGGTCTTGAAGCTGATTTAAATACCCCAAGGAAGTCTGTGGGTCATGACTCCCATTTCTCCTACAGTTTCTCAATGCTTTTACATTTCTGTCTTCATATCACTATGCTCGAAACTTCCAACTTAATGATTTTTTTCCCCTACACTCTCCAACAAAGCTTGTGTGTTTTTTTAAAACTACTTCTCTAAAAATTTTAAACATTTCACTCTGCTCCCAAACTGAAAATTTCCCCACAGTCCAGAATTTATATTTTATAGATAATTAATTTTTAGATAAAAAAGGCACTTGGAGGCTTTTTTACGTTTGATTTAATACAGAATTGTTTGGGGGTTTGGGGTGTGTGTGTGTGTTGGTTTTTTTAACAAAAATCAATAATTAAGATAAAATCAGCCAAATTTCTGATTGGAAAGATATCTAGTCAACAAGAATATTAACTGAATCTTCTGGTAAACAACAGTCACAGCTTCTGGCTAGCTAAATCTAAGCCTAACATCCACTCTATAAGTAAATCAGGTAGGATTTAGCTCATCCACATAAACATACTCAACAATACAGAATTCTTCATTTGAACTAGTTGTCTACACTTCCTCTTCAATCAGTGGGGAGAAAAAGAGACTTCTACAGTACTAGTCATGGGATTTATTTTAGTTGTCTACCTTAGGACTTCTAAAACTAGGTTACATGAATCCCTCCCAGAGAGACTATAAGTTAAGATTCTTGCCAAGTACTCTGGGAATCACTACCAAGATTTCCATCGACCTCCTTTCTGTAACAGAACAGAAATACTGTACCGTGGCTATTTAAAAGATTCCTTTTTAAAGTGACTGCATTAACCTCCTCTGCAATGAATCTCTTTCCCATCTCCCATAGGAAAATTTATAGCTGGCTATAAAAGCCTCAATATTTCTTACTCTTGTCAAGGAGTGATGAGTGCTTTGGCAAATATAAACTTGTCAATATAATAGCTCCATTAAGGCTGGATGATCTGCGAGGGTCTATTGCTACCACATTAGAATTAGCAATGAAAGTTTGATTCAAGTGTTTATATTAAGTTTTTGGCTATATTTATGGCATCTTGGGATACTAACAGCAAAAATAAAAAGGCTTTTGTACATTTGCCCTAAACAAGACGCAAGAGAGCACAGTAAGAAAGAAAGGAAATGCTAAAGGGAACATGATAGGCCATTAAAATTACTCGCAAGTTATAAAAACTGAAAGAAATAGTAATTTAGAAGGGCCCAAGGAATCATAAAGAAAGTGGCAATCTTGACCACCCAAAATGTGGACTCCAATACTAGGGGCAGATATCTGAGAGAGGTATCTATTAGATGTCAAAGCACTCAAAGGAGCAAGGGACTCCTTGGGCTTGTGTTACTTAAATCAGGGCTAGAACAAATCCCTTGAACTACCACAGGCAGCTGAGCAAACTGTTTACAAAACCAGTAATGAATTCCATCTACTGCCTCCTATCCTTCATGAATCATGGTACAAAAAGAAGACGGTAGGTAAAACCACATTTTTAAGAGGTGGAAAGTATGCACTCAAAATACATATTTTAAAGTAGTATTACATGAAAAATGTTAGTTTTGAAGAGAGACCCTACCAGCTCTACACTACTTTGTTAGCTCCAAGGCGTTCTGTTGTCATATGGAAGAGGTGGACAGGTATGGATTTAAACTGCATGTTCTTCTGAGGAAAAACATAGGCTTATGATCAATTAAATAAGATTAGTTTTCTTAAATTTTTTTTCTTTTAAAATGTTTATCGTTATTATAGATGTTTAAATACTTTATTTCGCACGCCATGTTCTACAGCAAAAAAAACCCAGAGAAGGACCTCATGTCAGTATGCAGTGCTGAATTCTAAGGACAGCAGCACTGTACATGACCAGATTATCTGGGTAACACATGGAAAATCTAAACATAATAAGAAAAAAAATGTAAGCCGAGATATAGGCTATATCTATATATTTCACATAGCTGAAAAGAGTTTAACATAAGCAGAGACAAGTATGGAGGGAAAATTGAGATGTGTACAGTGATTAAAAACTGGAACCAAGACAGATTTTTTTTATCTCCCTAATGTTTGCCCACAGCACTTCTATTTTTTTTCTTTTCACATAATTATTTACTTTTAAGTTCCATACTTTTTAAAAGACACTATATTATCATAAGGGATCAGTAAAATAGTATCCCTCATTCAGAAAGTTAGTCTTGTATGTTCCTAGTCTTTTTTCATTAAGTATCTTTAGAGATAACAAAAAATCCAATCCCAAACCTCTTTTACCCTCCAGTGACATCTCTAATATGTGCAAGATGCTTTATCACATACCTGAAGCACATCAATAGTACATCTTAAAATATTAAACACTCTCATAAATGGGAGAAGGGACATTCTTAATGGCTGCTGGTACATTTTTACATAGTGTTAAGTAAAACAATGCACAACTAATTCTGTCTTTTTCCAGAACTGACAAGTTTTATGAGTGCTTTCACATGTAAATCTGAAAAACGGGGTTTGGTTACCTTGGTGCATTAAGACAGGTAAGTGTTACCTTAAAACAATATGGAATGTGAAATAATAGGCTTATCTCTTGTTGCCTTGATTTTTTTCTGAATAGATATTTGATTGGCTAGAAATGAACTGTTCATTTAAACAACTTTTACTGGTTTTTTTTAATTACTTCTGTGACACAGGCCATGTATTACACTCACAGTTGGGAGAGACAAGATTTAAAAGGAACACGTACAAAGTGGACCCTTTAAATTGTTTAAGTTACGAATACAATGCCTTGAGACACTACGGACTCCATAACACAGATTGGCGTTACATAATTTTATGTAACAAACACTGTTTAAAACACATCCAAAAACCCAGAGAACAGCCCTTTTTTCTTGTTACGTATGCACATAGCTATATTCAAAAGCCAAACTTCTCTGTATTTGGACAATAAAATTATACTGATGTTAAATAATACCAAACTGGGTTTCATTAAAAAAAATGTTCCAGTTTTTGCTTTGACACAACAAATTAGATTTTTTCACTAACATGAGATGGGGAAAATGAGGGGAAACAAAATAATCAGGTAGTAAACCAAAAAAAGATGAGTGTATGATGATGAAGTCTTCCCAGAAGTGGATGATCTGCAAAAAACCACATTTGAATGGAAACTAGTTTTGTAGATGCTAAACACTGCAATGGACCATAAAAGGGGAGGGGAGAGAAGCAGGCACGGAGAGGAAAAATAAAGGCCACCTAGATAAGACAATCTTCTCTTAATAGTTTCAACTTGGGGTTTGTTTGGTTTTTTTTTTTGTGATTTATTAGAACTGGATGGAAGACTTTGGAAAAATAACGTCATTATTTAGCAGAAGTATTATTAGAAACATCACTTGACTGGCTTTGTGGTAGTCTCAAATGCCCTCCTTGTAAAAAAAAAAAAAAACAAAACCAAAAAACCCCCAAAACACAACATAAAAGTTGCACTGTATTTGTTTCATTCTGCCACATGCCAAGCAGATGAAGGAAATTAATGCCGAGACACAAATATTCTTAGCCACTGCTTTTCCCAGGCTTGCTCCCTCTCAGGCGTGAGCTCAGCACATGACTCCTTCCAGCATTCTTCCAAAGCCACAAGGCACACCCAATGGGCATGATTCTTCTGCACTTAAAAATGTCATATTTGGTAAGACACTTTCGCTCTTAAGGAGGAACACAATTTTCTGGATTTGGATATTATTAAAATCTCAAGCAAAAATAGAGCAGAACCCAGACTGGTGTGAGATATCACCTAAGCACTTGCAAGTGCCGTGTGCAAAGGCAAAAGCTCAGTAACAGCCCTACCACATACTGAGGGGATTCGGCAATGACATTAGAGCAGAATATTCACCATTGGATGATCTCAGTAATTTGGGCCTCCCAGTGGGCCACGGACTCCTTTTTATCAGCCAGGTCTCTCATCTCTTCTTCCAGCTGCCGGTTATTCATACTCAGCCTCTCAAACATGGTGGTGAGCTGAATGAGAATTTAAACAAGTTGTTAAAGTTATACGCTGCTGCGACTCCATCTCTGTGCAGACTCAAAGCCAAGTGTTCCCCTCTCCCCCATTGTGCATCTGCTTTAAAATTGGTACTACTCATTGCAATAAACACCATGTAACAATAAAAGCCAGAATCTCTTCTCATGTATGACCTCAGCTGCACTGAAAGACCATTTTTAAGGACTAGAATACATTTTTACTCTAACAAATTAATTAGCTTTCTGAGAATTAGTCTCCAAATACCCCCACAACTCTTAGAAGGTTTCTGCTTTGCACCATATAGGTATGGAATGATCTATACAGAAAAAACTACATTAAAAGAGCAAAGCGAGGGCACAAAAATTGTTATAGCCCAGATAAAACTGCTGAACTTCTCCCTTGTTTAGTTACCATGGAGAATGACAGGCTTAACAGATACAGGTGCAAGTCAGTCCTGAGATTCTCCAGGTGTCTCACATTCCCCTATTTTTCATTTTACTTACTTGCAGACAGGGAAATTGAAAATAAATGCACATCTGTAAGTACAATATGTTATACCTAGCAATTAACCTCACTCACATTCACATAGCTGTCACTCATACATGCACATTCTGCAAGACAAAAGCCGCAGCCAACCTGAGTTGGTATTGGGAGCTAAACCTTCATTATGTTAAATAATTATTCAGAAAGTCAAACTGGAATTGGAGATCAGATAGACTTTACAGAACGCCTCCTTAGGAGAATGAATCTCATGTGAAAGACTTCTTTTAGTACTGAAATATATTAACAAATCAAAATGATGAAAAAAATACCGATTCTGCTTTTTACTCCTAATATGAATACTCCACTCCATATTTATCATTTAAATGGACTTACAATTTAAATATGCCTATTTAATAAATGTCATTTGACAAGAAAAATACAAAGCTAACCAAATTAAAAAAACAAAAAAAGAAAAAAAAAGACCGAGCAGAAAAACTATCAAAGTGACTCGTCTCTTACTGTTCTTGGACTAAGCCAATACATATAGGTATATATAGCATGTGTCTTATACTGGTATGAAAATATACTTTAATTTGAACACCGACATGCAAACAATCTTACTTTGAAGAACACTGTACTTTTATCATATTTTTTAGAAAATTTAATGCATTACAAAAAGAATAGACAAGTTTAGCAAGATTTGGCTAATCCACAATGAACTTGAATAACCTGTCAAAATGAACAATAAGGAGATAATCTAAATGCACGAAACATAATTATTGCTTGCCCAACACACTTCAATTAATATACCTTATCATTCGTATTTTTTAATATCTCAAAGTAACACTTAATCTCAATGGGTGGGAGGGGCCCTGCTATTTCACAGTAATTGACATGCAAATATACTCTAAGTAATCGCATCATTAACTATGTATTTTTATATTTGGTCATACAATGAAATAATGCTTTTTTTTTTGGCTTAAGATATTGTCTAAAATTAATCTTACCAAACTGTAAGACCATCTAGCTCAATTCCTACACATAAATGCACACATGCATATATATATGTGTGTGTGTGTGTACACATTCTCAAGTTCAGATATATGTAGATACTCGCTACGCAAAAAAAATAGGGATCACCTCTTTTTGTGTAATATTAATTTCTGCTATCAATTAAGACTTAATAATAACCAACACAGCTCTATATTGCCCAATTTGTACACAGCAGACAATAGTTGTAAACTCAGGACTCAACTAATCAGCACTTACCTTATCAAGTTCATTTGAAAGTTTTTTGTTTTCTTCTGTTAGCAGAGTCTTTTCTCGTTCATACTTCTGTTTGAACTCTGTTTCAAATTCTTCTCTTTCACTTTGGCTAAGAAATAAAATGAAGTAGAATTAGCAAGTTTCGTTTTCTAAAACTCATCGCACCATTCATTTAAATACACAAAAATCAAGGCACACACTAGCTAAAAGTACTATATTGGTAATACCACAGCATATTAAAACTAAGCAAGTAATGTATTACACTACTATCTTAAGTCTGTAAGACTGTTGAATTTTATCGTTAGACAATGATCCTTCCTTTAGTATGGAATTAATAGAGCTCCACTGAGCTAACGTTTATCAATCCATTTATACGTATTTTATTCTTTACATGAATCCTTCAAACATTGAGCAGCTCTATTTCTGCAGACTGAAGTGCGTGTCAATATGCTAAGACACTTGGGGTAATTTCTCAGCTCACCAAAACATTCTTTTAACTTAGACATTTCCGTAATTCCAAGTTTCACACAGAATGGCAGGCAAAAATGACCACATACAGAAGCTAAATCAGAGCACTTGGGACTGGGTCTTTGGTGAGAAAAGCTTACATGTGATAGTCTTTGCACAACTTAGAACAGTCAGGGGACACTTTTGAACTGTTAATTCAGGCACCATATACTTACTATCAGCAAAAAGTGGATGGATAACCTATACACTCCTAATATCACCAGATTCTAGAGCAGGTTTGGACCATTCTATCTGAGAAAGTAGCTGTTTCCCCCAACCCTTCCCTTCTCCTGTGGCTGTCATTCAGCAGAGGAGAACCCCTGGTTGATTCTGTTCAACATCAACTTTGATCTTGCACAATGAATATGAGAACCTGAAAATACATGAAGCTGCAGGTCCTCTGTTTGCCAAAACCCATTGTAATTTCCTTGAAAGTGGTGTACAGCAGTGTTTCAGACTTATAACTCCCACCTCACTTCAAGTCTTTTGAGACTCGCTACATTTGCATCTTGTATTCACTGTTTCACCAGTTATTCAGGTGACTGGTACAAAGTTCATCTGTAGGTTGATGGAACTACACTATAAATGCCACAGATACAGTAAATATCCATTCAGCAAATAACACTGTCCAGCCTTAAAAGGTTTGAAAAAGTGCCCATTAAGAAAAGGTTAACTCTGTGAAAATGAAATCCAGGGGAAAACTTGTCTTGAGCATTGCAATTTTTTTTTTTGGATACCAATCAGAATTTTACATTGTGCGACAGAAAAATTACACCCTCGCCTCTTTTTCTGAGATGCAGAACTACTACAACTGTGCCAAACTGAAAGAACACCCTTAAAAAGATGAGAAGTGTCAGTGGTTACAGTGAGCCCAGTTAAGAGCAATGCTGGTTTGAATTTCCTATTCCTAATTTGAAATTCATTTAGTGCTTCAACCACTCTTTGAAATCTAGTACAGCATGTTAGACTCATGGCAAAATTCTATGTTGCTAGGCATCCTTTGAAACATAACACTACATCCTAGCAAAGTAACATACTATCGTTACTGTTTTAATGCCAAGTTTGAAATTCATCACTACTCCTTTTCTGTATCAACAGATTCCATGCATATGATGAGCGGTCTAGGGAAAAGGCAGGAAGAGATTAAAGCATTGGCTGTCAGGGGAATTAATAACAGGTCCTACTTTGGTTTGCAAGGCATAGATCCAAAGCTGATTTCTCAGACAGTAGATTGAACTAATTTTTAATTAATTAATTTCCTTTACTTAGCTTGTTTTATGGTTTTGTTTAGGCTTTTTCATTCTATATTTGTTCTTTTAACACTTTAGGGCTCAAAGCAGCCATAAATGGTGGTAGATTAAGGAAGCTTTGGATTGGTAAAAGAGCCCAACGTATTTGTATTTTTCTGTATTTTACGTTCTTAACTCAACTGGTGATTGTCACTAACTCAGTAAGTCAGATTGCTATAATATAATACAGAAACAAAGAAGATAAATTTAAAACAGAGGAGAATGTGGGTATAATCTATCATACCCAAATATCAACTCAGCAAACCACAGAACTGTGACAGACTCCATAGGTGTACCTTGAACAGCCAGGAAGATCAAAATAACATGTTCGCTTTGAAGCCTGGCATCCTCCTTTCTCATTAAGCTTTTTCTCTCATCTAAAATTTAGCTATGTATCTGCTCTTCAAGTTTAAGAAATCATACATGACCCAGCTTTCTTTTTATCAGTAAAATAACTGTAGCAAACCACATGCAAGCAATGTGAAATACAGCTTTATGGTATCGCTTTGTCACTCCAGCTCTTTGCTGCGACTGCACAAAGTGGAGAAATATTTTATCTTACTGCTTTGAAAGCAAGAAAAGTAGACCTGAAACAAACACCAGCCCCCAGGCTTCTTTATACCATAAAATGACAGGCTTAAAGAAACTTCTACAAACGTGATTTACTTTACACAGTTTCTTGCACCTTCTTCTGAAATATTTCACAATGACAATATCGTGGCACACGCATCACTGGCCTGATACTGTGTTCCTACGGTCCCAATTTTAATAGCATGCAGTTTATCAGACTTTAGCAAAGGGCAATCTTTTTGTACAGAAAGGTGGTTTCTCTCCCCTGAAGGCTTATGCTGTTGAAATAGCAAAAGTACAAAACCTTAGATTTGAAGGAAATGAAGAAAAAAATACCCATTTTAAAAAATGAAATAGAAACCATCAGCACGTAGATTACATTAAAAAATACACACAGATTTTGAACAAGCTCCTATTCACTCTATACTATGGCCCTTATGAAGTAATGCAACCACATCCTCTTATCAAAGCCTATTTTTAATACACACTAAAGATTATTTTTTAGACCACCAAATTTTTTTTTCTAAACAGTATACGCACACAACTCCACACCCACCCCAAGCCTATTTTTGAAATAATTCCACTTACTTCAGCATAAATCCTCCAAGTGCTTCCTTTTCAACACTTACATTGAACACATCTGTACTAGAAGACTCACAAAAAACTTTGCATGCCTGATTACAAAAGCCAAAACCAGTATGTGTAAGCAGGAAAAAAAAATAAAAAAAATCCATGTTCTCTTAAGAAAAACTACTAAATACTGAGAATCAAGCAGCAACAGCAATTCTTCCATTCCTAGTATTTAAGCTTGCCTTCTAAATCTCTGAACTCCTACAGAAGTCAACCTGTAGCACACCTTGAACAGCAGACTTCTCCATTTCTGTAGAGCCCCAATACTCGCATGAGATTCTGCAGATCTGTTTAACAAAACCCAGTTAAGATCAGATCTTCGTTTATTACTCATCATGTGCTTAGACACTTGACTTCATATGATGCTGAAGCCCTTCCCATTAAGAGCCAAATGTTGGATTCTGCTTATGTGACACACTTCTGTTCATGCTTTAAAACCTTTTCTTATACCAACACTTGAAATACACACAGAAACACATGGTTACATCAACGCTCATTTTAGATTTGCATCCAGTTCTTTTTTTATTTATAGAGAGCAACTAGATTAAAAGAAGCTTTATGAACTAGCTAGCATGAAGCACATCAGTATTGTTAGGCCATTTGTTATTTCACTAGGTGGACATCTAGTTAGAACTCTTGCAGCTGTACAATATTAGAATGGTTCTGATAAAACTCCAAGGAGTTTTTGGTCTGGTCAGTGTTTTTAGCAACAGTTTAGCCTGCAGAAAGAGGTATTAATTATTCTCTACTGAATATTCCTCCTCCTGAGGCACTACTAGACTGACATGACATTGAAGGACTATCATGCTATCACCTTTATATATTACACGAGAGCGTAGCCTTTTGTGCATTTGTATCTCATTGGTCAGCAAGACCATTAAGTTGCAGTACAATGCAAACATGCTGCTGATGCAAGTTTTACCTCTCAACCCAGAACAAAGCAGCAAACTACTGTGTTAATATATCCAGCCTATGGATAGCTATATTCTAGGAAGAAACAGTTCATCCACTTCATTCTAGGCTGTATGATCTACTTCCCCTGCTGGAAACAATTTACCAGAGAAGCAGTGTTTCGACCTCTATTTGCAAAAGGTTTTTCTAAAAATTCTTTATTTTATTTACTACTTGTATTTAAGGATTTGCTATAGTTTGGCTAAGCTTTCAGAAAGAACTTCTCCACGTTTGTCCTAATATGCCATCTTACTACAGCATTGAAAAGAAGCATCTATGTTAGCGTCTATAAAGCATTCTGAATTTGTTATGAATGTTACGAACACATTCAATACATGACCATTTCTGTTACTACACAATCCAACAGAAAAACTTGGTTTTATTGATGAATGCCTCAAGGAACATTCTCAAGGCCAGTTATAAGCTCCACCACGTGGGAGAGAAAAAAAAGCAGGTCTCTGACAAATTACCGTGTCAGAAGAGATAAAGCAGCTTATGCCTACAGTAGTCTGATGACTGATGTTAACACTGGATGGAACCCAGCATGGATTAGCCTTAGTCCGCATTAAGTGACTGTTCCTGTGCTGGCAGAAATGTAAGCAACAGTTGATCTCTAACACATTAATTTTGCATCAAAAGATGAAAATACCAAACAGAACAAAAATGTCAAAAAACGCTATTTTAAACTGCAACATAAGCTTCAGGGGTTGACTTACCCAGAGCTGCAAGTCTGCAACTCAAGTTACATACCTCGGAGTGGTCAGCCAGTGCAAGAATTCTGGTGCAAAATTAACTGTTTCAGTAGAGGATTGTGGATTTTTTTGTTCTGTTGTATTTTTTAAGGTGACTATTTTCAACCCTGGCATTAGCTCAGCCAAACTGCACCTGTCTGCACTACAGTTAAGTGATAGTGCGTGTAGAAACATACTAGGAGGCTTCAAAAGATATTTTGAGCTTAAAGTTAGATTCCATACAATACTGACCTTTCTCTTCTGGTTTTCTCTAACTTGTCTTTCAAAATCATGATCTCCTTCTTGAGGGCAAGCTGCTGGCTCTCTGCATCCCGTAGTTCTTTCTTCAAACTTTTTATTTCATTAGCATGCATTATTTCACGTTTAGATAGTTCCTCTTCATAGAAAACACTCTTCTTTTCCAGGTCTGCCTTTAATTTAGTGATCTCTTGCTGGTGTTCTATACTGCTTACCCCAGGTGAGCGACCAACCTGTTTTTGCTAAAATAAACAGCCCCAAGTTAGCACTCAAGAATGCTGAAAATTGTGCTTAGTAACAACTCAGTATTCATTAAGTCTATGTTTAGAAAATATCCCATTACAGACTTGAGTTAAACACATCTATCTCAACTTTTTTGAAAATTTGTTAGAGCATAAAGCTGAACTGTACTCTTTATCATTTTGTGATTTAAATGCAGTAATAGTTTTCAAGCCATTGAAAATTTGACCATCACTGTAAGCATCTCTGGCCACATTTTGACTCCCCTTACATGCAGTCAGAAAGTGACCACAGAATTAGAAGATTTTTACGCTCCCACTCACATTGTTGACAACAACAAGTTCAAGTGACTTTCAGGACCGGAGAATAAAGATTGTGATATAGTCAATATATTTTAAAGCACGAGTAATTTATGGAAAAGCTATACTAAGACAAGCAGAGGCTTAAGTGAGGGCTAAAATCTAGCTACAGAAACACTATAAGGACTGCATCAATCAGGAGGGAAACCTGATCTATTTACTCAAACTGACCATTTACATCATAGTGGATTAATAGGAAAAACAAGCTTTAAACAATAAGAGTAATTACTTCACTTTTCGCAGCTGCATAGCTCTCTTAGTGAGGTCTTCTGGCATTTCAATAGTCTTTACACATTGCTTCAGGATACATACACATTTGCACCAAATGCTGCACTCACTAAACTCAATGTCCTGCCATAACATAGAGGAGGAGCAAGATCAGGTTCAAAATGAGATAGCGTCATGACATGCACTGAAATCCAAGTATGGAAATACCTTTTAATGCAGATACATGTATAACTTTGTTTGGAATTTTCTTCTATTTTTTTTTAAACGTAATTAAAGTTAGTCTAAGGAAAGGAAATTACTTAATAAAAACACTGTGTTTTGAGAAAGCAAAGGTAACTGGAAAACCTACTTCCTTACGGTGACCATCTCACACCTTCAGGAGGATTGAAGGTATTTTGTTAATTATACCTCCTTTCTTACTATGAGATATTAAAATCCTCTCGGTTACCCTTAATTAAACATGGCTTTGGGTAATTTTCTTTTGCTGATGTATGAATAGACTTTAAGAGCAAAATGTTATTGTAGAACATTCAGATGAGCTGAATTTCTACCATGACGAATTCTATGAGAAAGCTTGGCCTTGCTGTTAGTGTCAGCCAAACACTGCAAACCCCCTAAACGTATGAGCCAGACATGGGCCACTACCACATTGTTTTCTCTAACTCATCAAAATGACCACCTGTTTTGATCAAAGAACAAAATCCTGCTCTTTGGATGAAGAATGGCAAATTGGAGAAAGAAGATACCATCCTAACAGGAAGATTGTTTGGAGAAAGAAAGATTAAAAAAGGAAAAAAGAAAGGAAGTGGAGGAATTTTCTTTCATGCACAGGCAGTTAACTACTGAACTTGTTTGTTACTGCCCAACGTGCTGAGTTGCCTACGCTTACATGGCAATGGAGCACAAAAAATTTAGGCTTTGCAACATCATCTATCAAGTATGTAAAATGTTTTAATGGTCTTTCTTTTTTTTTTTTCCCCACAATGACAAGATACTATTAAGACCATGAGACAGATGGTGCAGTAAAAGAGAGAGCTGGATGGTATTGTACAGCGGCTTACAGAACCAGAGAATAAACAGAGAATATCTTTTGAATTGATGCAAGCACAAATTCCAAATAGATGTTTTCCTACATGCCTGTTTCAAGTGGACAAATGGTGCAACTGAGACATAATGCATCTCCTGGCACACAGTTAGATGCCATAACTCTACGCTGGAAGTCTTCCTTCTCTCTCCCTCTCATGCACACACACAGACACACACACAAACCCAACAAAAAGTCCCCTTCATAGAGCAGCTCTTTCATTAGGCAGTTACGAAGCTGAACAGTCCAAACTGGCAGCAGTGCTATAAATACTACTGTATGTATTGACATGTATATCACATCCTATGGTTACCACAATTCCAGTATTAACAGACATCAAGTTTTGCACTTGAAGAATAAAGAAAAACCATTAAATACTGCGATAATAGAGAAGGTGGCATTGGAAACCTTACCATTTAGGTAACGTAATCCTAAATGAACATACCATTAAAAATCTTGGAAAAACTTCTGGCTTGTCTTTAATGAGGTTAGCCTTTTGTTACAAGTGCTATTTAGTATTGCTTCAGGACTTGTATCTTGCCCTTTGCAGATGGCAATAATAATTTACCTTGGTTAAGAATATGAAGAACCTTACTTAGAATTGTAATATTTGCCAAATGCAACATATTAAGAAAGATGCAACCTTCCTTATTACAATCCTATTAATTACCACTTATGTGGATTAGTATATAATTCCTCTCAAGTTAATAATTTGCTGTTGCTCAGGTAGGAAGGAAAGAGTTGAGAATTTCATTTTCAACATGCCACCTAAATATATAACATGCAGAATTTAGTCTAAATTTGCTCGAAATGAACTTACAAAAGATTAAACAAAAAAATAAATCAGCCATACAAATTAGCATGAAAAATTGCCTAGTTGGCCCAGAACAGTCTCACCCAACACACCTTTTCTGTAAGTGTAATTTAATCCAGAAACAGAATTTTGCCTGTCTGAATACACACCTAAGGCTTCATAACTAAGTTTACTGAAGTAAACAGCAAGTGAAAGATCTTCCAGCACACCTAGGAAATGCCCTAAAACCTAACAATAAATACTTCTGTCTGCTGCAGAAAGAGATTTGTAGGTATTATACTATTGCTCTGATGAAAATGAAAGCCTTCCTCTTCTGTTATCACATATAGCTCTATTTTTTGACATTAATGGAAGCTTGATTAGAGTCAGAATTTATTGCAAATGGTAACTGGTTTCTTTTGGTACCTTCTTTCAACATGTGGTCCAAGTCACTAACTTCTTCACTTAGTCATACAGTATGCTTTCACTACTCTTACCATTCCAGTACTGCATTCAGCTGCACTGTGAAGAACAATGTTGGGAGATGCCTTACTAGGTCAGACCAGTATCTTCCCCAAAGCAGTGGCTATCTGGGGACAGCACCCAGGCCTGCCTTTTTATGAGGTCCATTTCCTTTGGAATATAACAACTGTTGGACTAAAGGTATTAGAGGGTACCTGCCCACACAGTCAGGGGACCTGGAGTTCATCAATTTGTCTAATCCCTTTATGAACCCACTGATACTGTCACAACCACAAACTCCTGTGGCAACAAGTTCCAGGAGTTCGCTCCCCATTCTGCAAAGAAGTACTGTATTAAACACGTGTCCTGTTTGCTTCATCAGTGCCCCTCAGTCGTAGTACTGCAGGGTTTGGTATACAGCTATTTCCATTCACCTTATCAACTACCTTTGTGGTTTTGTGAACCTTAAACATCACTTCCCCTCAGCTTCTTCCTGCCCAAATTTAAGAGTGACATCCAAATAGATGTTTTCATACATGCCTGTTTCAAGTGAGACAAAATGCGTCTCCTGACACACAGATAGTTAGATGCTGTTTAATGCACCCCCAGGTGCAGTTTGCCCTCTTGGCTGTCACAGCACACTGCTGACTCATATTGAGCCTGCTTTTTTTTAAAATCCAAACACCTGACATTCACTGGATCTCCTTTATCCATATACTTACTGACAACTTTGCAGAATGCCAGCAGGTGAGCATTGCAGGACCTGGCTGGACAAAGGCACACTGCCTCCTTCCCAGTAGGGTCTGCTTCATCCATGAGCTCACTGACCTGATTCATTCTGTACTGCAGCCTCCACCCCTTTCCTAAGGAGGTCACACCCACTCCTCTCTCTGCAGTTCCCCAGATCTTCTGGATGAGAGTTACAGGGACGCAGCAGACCGTCTGTAATAGGAGGGTGCACATCTCGGCCAGCAGTTCTCTTGCTTCTCCCCTGAGCTCCTTCAGAACCTCCTTGGAGAGGCCACTGCTCCAGGTGACTTCACATCTGACTCACCTGCCATCTCTAATGCTTCCTGCACATCATCCTCAGACTGATCCAGCCCATCTGACTAACCTGCTGCAATGAATGTACTGGGTGGCAATCTCCCTTGCTTCAGCAGTAAAGTCTGACACATCAAAAACTTGATAAGAGCTTTTCTGCCACAGACCTATGAACTCAGAGATTACCTTTTTCATCCCTGCCAATAAGCAGCCACATGAGGTTCCTCAGGTGGCTTTCTGCTTTTGATTTAAAGAACTTCCCACAATCACCCTGAGCATCCTTTGTAAAGTGCTCTCTAAATTATCTTTATTTAACCTTCAACCTGCCATCATTTATGGGATTTTCTGTTCTCATTTGGAGAAACTTTCCTTTTTTTTTTTAAATATTGACCTTTTCTCTACGATAGCCTTCTGAACTTAACTAAGGAGCCATGCAGAGCTTTTACTGAATGGATAATGCAGTACCACAACAACTGCACGTGATCCAAAGTATGCTTACTGTACTGTGAAATGTTACTAAGAAAGCTACAAGTCCCCTTTCCTCCTCTGATAGAACTTGTTACAAATCAGCACATTGTTTATTCTCAGTAGATCTCTTAACAAATTCCTCTCGCCTCTTAAACTGCCATACAAGCTCTTTGCTGATGGTGAAGATTCATGAAAGTGTAAGAAACACATCTTACTTTTCAGATAACAATCTGAATTTGCAGAAGCAGAAGCTTTATAAATCCAAATTTCATATTGAATGGATTTCCTTCTTTTGATTTAACAAAGGATGGCAAAATAAAATAATGTTTGCAAAAAACCCCCTGAATTTTCTGTGAAGTGATTTAATGTTGACAAATGTCCCACAGAATTCTAATAATTTGCATGAGTAACAGGTGGCGGTTTAAGACCAGAATAGGCCCAACCTGACATTTTGCACAAAAAATTTAGAATTCTCCTATTGGATGAAACATTGGGAACAGAATTTTGCTGGAAATGAACCACAATCCTCATGTAGAAATGAAAAAAAACTTTGTCATTCAATTTCTTCAAAGTATTGTATAAAATGCTAAATCATAGAATGAAGTAACAGTTAAGATTCTTGGCTTATTTAAATTTCTGCTCCTAAAAACATGTACATGTGTGAGCAATCTCACAGATATCAACAAACCTCTTCATGCTCAATGTTGCTCTTGTGCAAAAACGTCTCAACGTCTGGCTGAGAGGTAGAATATACTAAAACTTTGCCTTTGCAGTTACATCAGTTGACATCTATTGAGGAGGAAACCATCTTTCTTTTGACTTACATACCCTGCAGGTTTATCTTCAAATACTCAACCAGCCTACACTAAATAAAAACCACTTTTCACAGGTAAAGTCAAACAATGTAATAATGCAAGCAATTTGTTAAGAAATCATTGACTATTAAGAAATACTTCAGTGACTAGTGAACACACTGGCCTGAAAAGTGCATTAGGCAAATGTTCATTTTTCTGGGTAACAGCAAGACGCATGCTTGCATTAATATTCAGCATCAACTGAAGTGACAAACTGACAATACCCTTTTGTTCTGCATCTGAAAGCAATCAAACAGATTCAAGTCCTGGTTGACTAGTAAGTTTGCAGGTGTTAATATCAAAACAGACTAACCTTTAGCCCTTCTACTTCGCTTTCCAACTGTTTAGAGTACTGTTCACTCCTCTCTCGCAATTTCCTGTCTTTGGATGCCTCAGCAGCTGCGGCTTCAGCTTGGACTTCCAGCTACAAAAGTACATACGTTTTTAATAGGTAGGATTCTTTTTTTTTTTTTTTTTCAAAAATCTATTGATGGTTTTCAATATAAGAGATAAATCTTCAGCACTAAACTGGACACTTCAAATTCTTAGAGAAAAAAATCGGTACTGTTTAAAACAACAAACAAAGAGTTAAAGATTTACAGACAACATAAAAAAAATACTTTGTCAGAAAACCTTACATATAACTACTATTTCATAGATTCTAAACAGTCTTCTCACCACTTACTTCTTTTTTAAGTCTCTCTGTTCTGCGTAACTCTTGCCTTAAACTTTCTACTTTTTGCATCACCACTTCCATTTCTTCCTCCTTATCTCGGAGCTGGCGGGCAAGCTTTTGTTTTTGAGAGTGCAAGTCTGTCAGCCGCTCGTTCATCTCTGAGAACTCCTGCATTGCCAATTTCCGCTGGCTGTGTGCATCTTTCAGCTCTTTGGCTTGGGATTTTAATCTGTCACTAGACTCTGCCAGTTCCTACAGTTTAAAAAAAGAATTAAGTAATAAACCTAGAAAGCTGCAAGGCCAATTCTGTCTTTGGATGCGCATCCAACACCTTCTCCAGATTGAATAGAAACTACATATTCATTTCTTTTCATGAATGCATCTACGATACAGATTGTTTGCCCCTCTAAATAAAGAGGCCAGGGTTTACACTACTAAAGTTAGTAAAACTGCATAAACGTAAACCAATTTGGAATGTACTCCATTATTACAGGTTGAACACACAGACTTCCAAGCACTTGCATTAAAATATATAAATACCTTGCTTGCTTAATTAAAAATGTCATTAGCATAGTTTTTCAAGAACTACTTAAATGAACAAAAAGAATAGTACTTATCTCAACTGCTAAATGATTTAAAAAGTTTTTGCATTAATTGAACGGAAAACTCTGCTCTGTGAAAATTTCTACTTTAGAAGCTTTTGAAAACTGACCTCTAATGGCGAGTATGATTTCCACACACTGTATCATAATATCAAATATTACAGGAAGTTTCAGGCAACAAAACACTGTAGTGATTAACAGCAATATATGATGATTATTCTTTTAGAAGTACCCACATGAAATAACACTGCTAGTGCTGCGATAACTCTACAGCACAATACCTTCACAAAGCTTGCTGTGTCCTAGATCTGTGCTACTACACTACGAATGAAGGGACCACAACAGTTTAAATGGCTTAATGATGTTCAGCCAAACCGGAGCAGAACAAAGAAGCAAGGAATAGCGAGTCTGAGGATGAAAAGAAGAGTGGCAGGAAGAGTTAATATTTGGCACTGTTGACATCTATACAAATTCAAAAGCATTTTCTAAGGTTGTTAAAAAGAGGTCCTAATCACTACAAGTTGTTTTAGAAGAGAGATGATCTTTCCTGGACAAACTGGCAGGTCTCAAGGTTTTAAGAGCCCTAAGGGTTAACAGAATGTTAAATACAGCTGGCACATCCACATTCAGTGTAGACTCTAAAATACTGGGCCAATATAATCATGATGAGAAACAGGCTAATGTATTTCACACCTGATTACATTTTCAAGTTGATTTAACCATGAATATTAAAGAGCCATGAAAACCAGGATGCTATAAATAAGAAGACAAGGAATTGGGGAGACAGAGAAGAAGAAGTAAACCCCAGTATTCTTTACTGTAGTTATTTCAAATTACTTTTCAATCTTCATATGCGGGCAATTTTTCACATCTCTCTTCTGGAAACACTTCTGTGACATGGCCTTAATACCATATTTGTAACGTTTTTTTCCCTGCTATGGTCTCACCCATACTTCAGATCAAATTAGTTGTCTGGAATAGTTCTTCTCTAGTCTGTCTTCTAACCACTATCTCTATCACCTTAATCTGAAGCTCTAAACCTTCTTCGCAACCACCATGCAATGTGGATCACGGAGTTGTTCACTATCTGGAAGCAGTCACCTAGGACCACCCAGCAGTCATACAGACAACACATTAAATAACATCCTTGTCTTCAAAAAAGAGGCAGAAAGCAAAGTAGGTCATGCTACACATTTGTTGTCTGCTCATTAATTTTACACTTGAAAGTTATTTCAAGCAAAATGAACAGAAATAAAATAGTCCTCGGGGTTTAGAAGAGTTACTGACAAAATGCTTTTACCTTATTAAGATCTTCCCTCTCTTGCTTCAGCGTTCTGACCTGTTTCTCAAAAGCCTTTATTTGTCTGGAAGCATCATCCAACTCCCGCCTTGCAGTGCTGGCCTCCTCAAGTTGCTGTTCTAGCTGACCAGAATCTAAAAAAAGGAGCAGACCTCTAAATACGTTAAGGAAAAAAAAATAAATCATTATTCTAGAATAGCATAGTCTAGCTGCTTGAAGCCCCTTCAGTATTTGTTCCGGTTTCCATTTAATCACAAAATAATACAATTCTTATCTGGTTTAGAATAAGGAGTAGGTTGTTTCAACTGCCGTTATCTGCTTTTAACACAACAGAATAAAAGGTCACAGCTTGCTGCAAAACAACATAGAAAATGGTAACAACGTGTCTTTTCACATTAAATAATCATGCACTATACATAATTCTGTAATGTATGCTTTAACATGACCTATACATTTGACTTTTATACACTGTGATGTAATACACAATACATCTTTTATTAAAACATAATTCTAAACAGTCTCCCTCCTCCTCCTAAATTCTCCCCAGAAAGAAACACTGAAAGTAACAGGTCACTCAAGAGCTGGCAAGCATTCTCCTGTTGATACATTTAAAATTAACTTCAGATGATTTTACTTATTTCTAGTGTGAAAACCACTTGTGTTTACGTAATCTGCTTTATTACTACTATAAATACAGGAAAACTATTACAACCAGTTTCTTACCAACTGTCAGTTACACAATGAAAGTACATTTCTAAGCCGCAGCTAAATGATATCATATCAATACACTCAGGTGCTACAGCATGGAAAGATGAAATTCATAAAATATGACAACTGAAAATTTCTATCTACTGGGTATTTTTTTTCCCTCCCAGCCCTTCACTTAAAAATACAAATTTAAAGCAAGATATATATGAAGGTAGGTTATTTCCTAGTTCTATAAAATCACTAGACATTTTGCCTTTGATTTCAGTTGTGGCAGGTCTTCAGGCCATACGTATTTACCCACAGAACACGAACCCATCTATACTCTTAATAAGGGCCTTTTACTACCTTTTCATAAATGCAACCCTAAGAGACTAGGCTCTTGGAGAAATCAAGCATAAAACCACACACATTTCTAAAAGCTGTAATTTCTGAAACACAGGAATTTTATAAGCAAATGGATACTATTAGCTTATACCCAGACAAATATTCACTATTGTTTTAATTCATTGACTCTTGTTTAAAAATTTAAAAGAATGCATTTACATAAGAGATGTAGCTCATAGCCAGAACTTATTAACTGCCTCTCTTATGTAGTCTACTCTGAAGTCACCAGCAAAAAGAAAGTTTATATATGGCTCTGCTGAGCCAAGATAAATCTCTCTTCCGTGCATGAACTACTTTGTTCCACAGCTCTGTTTTCTTCTTCCATTGCTGCCCTTTACATATTTGGCAATATGAAAGATTCCTCAAAGTTTTCTCCTATGTAACTTAGCGAACAAAAATTACAACTTTGACCTCAAAAATTGAAAGCATATGCTAGCTTGTCATTTCCTGGAAAACTAGACAGACAAGAAAAATGTATTTTTCTAAGGTCCCTCCGATGACACTCCTGAATTGGACACAATTTCATGTTCAATCTTTATTACGTTTTTAAGCAGGTGTTTACTCTTACAGCTCCAGAAGAGGCAGTAAAACAGATTAAAGAACATAACCAAAAGCTAGTTGTGAGCTATGTGTAATCAATGATAATATTCCATTTAATAACCCTAGTTGTTGCTAATGTTTTAGCTAATATATGCACACACTCACTGTAGGATGTTACTATGTTACATCTAATTGTCCAAGAGATGAGCCCAAAGCGTTAAGTTCAGCTCTGCACCTGAACTGAACCTTCTTTAAAGTTCATCAGATCTAGTTTTGGAAATTTAGATATTCTAAAGGCCACCCAGAAATCCTGGAACTAGCTCCCCAGAATTTGGAAGCATTCAGAAATAACCATCATTTGTGCCTGTATTGTCATTAATTTAGTTTTTAAATCTATCTCACAAAAAAAACCCCATAAAAATCGAGCAAAATACAACATTCTCTTTCCCCAGTTTTATCAAATCAGCTTGTATTAGTTACAACTCAAGGCACAAATGAGTGTCTTTTAACTAATGGCCATATTGACTGGACCAGACAAGGCATTCAAGTATATTCTGGGAAAGTTATGTGGTGACTGGGGATGGATTAGGCAACTCTACATCTTCCTCATTTGATAACATTATTCACTTCCAACCCCCAAAATAGGAATAAATATACAAATCTATACATAGCATGAAGCAGAAAAGTCTTAATGGATACTTAAGGGAAAACCTTCTCTATATTAACGAACTTCTTTTAAATGTGAAAAGGGGTATCAGTTGTATTGTGGAATGTTCCCACACCTTTTTTATGTTTTTTTTCATTAGCAAAGGAAGAGAGCAATACCTTCAGCAATGAACTAAAATCTAAGTTGCAGCTCAACAGTCAAGAATAAAATATAATTTAAAGCTGATCCTGTTGCTTTTTTATGAAGGGTTGGTCCCATTCAAAAGCTGTTCCTGTAGACATTGCTTTTCAGTGGGCCCAAAGAGCCAAAATACAGAGCTGAGGATTCCTGCAGAACAGTTTCTGATCATGTCGTCTTTTTCCTCATTACAGCAGCCAGTGGAGGGACATTTGGCTGAGAGAAACTTCACAAAGACCATTGTCCTGACACAGCGCCAACGTGGCATCACTCAAACCAGAGTGATCCTCCCTGAGCTAGTTAAGCCGTGTTCACATCCAAAAATAATGCTTATGGTACAATACAAAACTGCTGCATCATACTAGAGCAGCTGTCCAACTGTATATCTAGAACAGACTTTTTTCAGACTACTCAATTTTAACAGCATATAATCCATGTGCTGCGTTCTGCAGTTCATACATGGTGTGCTTCTACCCCATAAGGCAGCAGCAGAGTCTAAACACACCAAGTAAAATGTCTGAAAGTTAAGTTCAAGTTATT